TTTCTACTTTGTCCACTTGGAGCTTTTTCAGGTTGGCTCCTGTGATTGAAATCACCAGTGATTTCTAGAAGTGCAAATTAAAACAATAGTGAGGTATCATCTTATACCAGTCAGAATGGCTATTAAAAATCTGTCACAGATCTCAGGAGATTTCAGGTAAGATGGATTAAATAGCACCTTTATTCAATGGGGTGACCTTTCCTCAGTGTATGTTTTTGTCAACTTTGTCAAAGATCAGTTGGCTGTAGGTATGTGACTTATTTCTGGTTCTCTTTTCTGTTCCATTGATCTATGTATCTATTTTTATACCAGTATCGTGCAGTTTTGGTTACTATAACTGCGTAGTGTAATTTGAAGTCAGGTATGTAATGCCTCCAGCTTTGTTATTTGCTTAGGATTGCTTTATCTACTCAGACTCTTTTTTGGTTCCATATGAATTTTAGAATTGTTTTTTCTCATTCTGTGAAAAATGATGTTAGTATTTGGATAGCCATTGCATTGAATGTGTAGATTGCTTTGGGCAGTATGGACATTTTTAACAATATTGATTCTGCTGATCTGTGAGCATGGAATGTTTTTCCAATTTTTTTTTTTTTGAGACGGAGTTTCGCTCTTGTTACCCAGGCTGGAGTGCAATGGCGCGATCTCGGCTCACTGCAACCTCCGCCTCCTGGGTTCAGGCAATTCTCCTGCCTCAGCCTACCGAGTAGCTGGGATTACAGGCACTCACCACCATGCCCAGCTAATTTTTTGTATTTTTAGTACAGACGGGGTTTCACCATGTTGACCAGGATGGTCTCGATATCTTGACCTTGTGATCCACCCGCCTCGGCCTCCCAAAGTGCTGGGATTACAGGCGTGAGCCCCCGCGCCCGGCCGAATCTGTATCTTTTAAGTAGAGCATTTAATCCATTTATGTTCAAGATTAATACTGATATGCAAGGTTTTATTTCTGTCATAATGTTAATTATTATGTACTTGCTTTGTAGATTTTTTTTTCTTTGAGTGTTTGTGATTTTGTGGAATTCTGTTATGTTGCCATTTGATCTTCCTTTTTGTAATTATTTTATAAGGCCTGTGAGTTTTATGCTTTTGTGTCTTTTATGATGGCAAGTATCAACCTTTTGTTTTCATGGTTAGAACTTGAGCATTTCCTGTAGAGCTAGTCTAGTGGTGACAAACTTCCTCAGTGTTTTTATTTGGGGAAGGCTTATTTTTCCCTTCATTTATGGAGCTTATTCTACTAGATATAAAATTTGTGGCTGACAGTTTTTGTTTTGTTTTGTTTCTTTTTTGAAGCAACTTGAAAATAGAATCCCGATCTCTTCTGGTTTGTAAGGTTTCTCCAAGTTGAATTGTCTGATGGGGTTCCCTTTATAGGTGACTAGACATTTTTCTCTTGTCGGTTTTAGGATTTTATCCTTCATGTAGACCTTAGTCTGATGATTGTATGTTGTGATGAGTTCCATCTTGCAATATATTTTCCTGGAGTTTGTTAGATCTCTTTTATCTGGATGTCTAAAATTCTTGCTAGATTAAGGAAGTTTTCCTCAATTATTTCCTTAACTAGGTTTCCAAACTTTGTACTTTTTCTTCTCCCTCAGATATGCCTATGATTCAGTTCGTAGGTTTGGTTGCTTTATGTTGTTTCATACTTCTTAAAAGCTTTGTTTTTTCTTCTTTATTCTTTTTTCTTCACTTTCATCTGACTAGATTCAAAAGACCTGTCTTCAAGTACTGAAATTGTTTCTTTTCCTTGTCTAGTCTATTGTAAAAGCTTTCAACTGTGTTTTGTAATTTCTTCAATGAATTTTTCATTTCCAGAAGTTTTTGTTTGGCTTTTTAAAAAAAGATAGCTATCACGTTCTCTTTGGTAAATTTCTCATTCTATCCTGAATTGATTTTCTGATTTCTTTGTATTACTTTTCAAATTCCTTTTGTATCCTATTGAGCTTCCATAAAATCCGTATTTTAAATTATTTATGTGGCTTATTTTTTTCTTTATGATCGGTATTTCTTTTATGTTGGTTTTTTCCTGTCTTACTGCGCTGACTGGAACTTTCAATGATGTTTAATAAAAGTGGTGAGTGTAGATATACTTGCCTTGTTCCTGATTTTCTGAGGGAAGCCTTGAGGTCTAATTTTGGAATATTAAGTCAGCCTTGCAGTCTTGAGATAACCACTACTTTGTCTTCATTTATTATGCTTTTTATACATTGTTAGATTCGATTCAGTAACATTTTTGTTAAGAATTTTGTAAATATGTTCATTCGGAATATTAGCCTGTAGTTGCCTTTTCTTGGAATGTCTTTATCTTATCTTGATATCAGAATAATGCTGGCTTCCTAAAATGTGTTGAGAAGTATTCACTCCTTTTCATTTTTCTGGAAGAGTTTGTCTAGCATTGGTATTATTTATTCCTTAAACATTTGGTAAAATTTGTGGATGAAGCCCTATAAGCTTGAAGTTTTGTTTGTGGAAATGTTTATAAGTATGAATTCTATTTGTTTGGTGGATAAAGGGCTACTCAGATTATCTGTGTGTTCTCAAGTAAACTTAGTTTGTGTCTTTCAATAAATTTGTCCATTTCATCCGCATTGTTGCATGTATTGTCATAAAGTTTATAAGGTCCTCATTTTTTTTAACAATATACACAGGATCTATAGTGAAGCCACCTCTGATTCCTGTTATTTGTAATTTGTGTCTTCTTTCTGTTTTTATCACGCATGCTATAGCCTATTAATTCTATTGTTCTTTTCAAAGAACTAGCTATTTATTTCTATTTTCTATTCATGCTTACTTTGTATTTAATTTGTTCTTGTGCTTTTAGTTCCTTTGACACATTTCTGCTATATAAATTTCACTCCATGTAGAAGTTTTTCACTCTAAGTAGAAGATACGTTGGTTTTTTCATTCAATTTATAACGTCTCTTGAATTATTTTTGATCCACAGTTTGTTTAGAAGTATGTTATTTAGTCTTTGCATATTTGAAGATTTTGCAGAGATGGTTCTGTTCATAATTTCTAATCAGTTGTGGTTAGACTATCCTTTGTATGACTTGACTCCTTTTGCATCTGTTAGAACGTGTTTTGTGGCCTAGAATATGGTCTGTCTTGGAGTACGTTTTATGTGCACCCGAAAAGAACATTTTCTGTTCCTACTGGATAGAGTCCTAAAAGGCCAAGTAGTCAACTTGGTTGTAAATGTTGCTTCAAGCCTGTGTCTTACTACCTACTTGTTTTTTGTTGGGTTTTGCTTTATTTTTAACAGCATTTGTTTGTTTGTTTTCTGGCTGCTGCTGCTGCAACTAAGACCCTTTTTTGTTTCTTCAGCTTTTGAACATTCTGGAAAACCTGAATTCACAGAACCTTCCTGATCAGAAGCCATGGTCAGTGGGCTGTTTGATAATTGAAAGGGGAAAGGTGACTTCAATCCCCAGTTCCCTGAATGTCTTCCCAGAGTCGTCATAATAGGTCTCATGGAGGTTTTTGAGCATCCTTTTCCTCTGGTTGATGCTCATCAGCAGATAGCATTTGTGGGCTTTGTCCTTTTCATGTTTCTGCATGTGTTTTTCGTAACTCCAGATCTTGACCAGTTGCAGTGGCTCCTCATTGCTGTAATCCCAGCACTTTGGGAGGCTGAGGTGGGAGGATCGCTTGAACCTAGGAGGTGGAGGTTGCAGTAAGTCAAGATTGTGCCACAGTACTTCAGCCTGGGCAGCAGAGCAAAACCCCATGTCAAAAAAAAAACCTATGGACCTTGATGTTCAAGTCAATAATTCCAGCCTCTTGGGAGCTGGTGTCCTTAGGGATTGCCACGTCCTTTTGTATCAGCTATCAATAGGCTTGATTTTTGGCTTCTCCTGGTTGTCCATTTCTGAAGACAAGTGTCTTTTCACAATGTCATCAACCTTCTCAATTCTGTGAAAGTTCTGGTAGTCTTTGAGCAGCATAAGGGAACAAGTCATCATCTTGGTTGAGCTGGATTGGTTTCTGAATGGCATATCCACGGGGGGCCTGGAGGAAGAGAGTTGGAGGCTACCAGCATCACTGACTGGATGGAAGTCTGGTGCTTCCTCCTCTTGGCTTCTCAAAAACTAGAGCTTGGGGTTTCAGTGGAACTTAGCACATTCCGCACAGCCCTTGGCATGGTGACTTCTGACCCACGAAGGTCCAGGTCAACTGTTGCTTTCACAGTGTGGGCTGGGTTACACGGGCGCCACCATGCATCTTCCTACTTCCTCTACTAGCTTTTGGAAAGGGGGGTTGAAATCTGCAGCTATAAATATGGATTTGTCTATCAGTTATTTTGAGCACATTTCTAGAAGTGAGTATTGTACAATGAGAGCCTATAATTGAGGCATATATTTAGCCTGATTTATAGAGTTGCTACTTAAGATTCAGTTGCTGTAGCCAGAGAAGAGGAGACTTTTAATTTACCATTCTTATAGGCAAGGAAGTCAATTTTTCATTTCTAAATACTTACTGAGATCTTATTTTGTTGCTCTGCAGCCTGGCTGGTTTCTACCTCCTGTCCTATTCTTAGATCTGTAGTTCTGAGTTTCCACAGGTAAATGAAACCCAAGAAAATCCATGATGGTAAAGATTAGCTGAAAATTTCCATTATGAACTAAAGCCTGATATTGAAGGCTGTGTAAAAATTGGACACATCTGGACAAAGCATTCACTTTGGAGTTATATATACTGGAGAAGACACACAGGCAGCAAGACACATACTCGGAAAAGACCCACGAATACCTTAAGCACTCACCTGGGGCTGACCTCAAATTTTCTATCTTAAATATGGCTTTTTAAAAAATTTAGTGTTCTCTTGGTTCTCTTGCAGCTGCTTTTCAGGGCTCCTATAAATTTATTACAGCCAGTATGGAGTTGTTTCTTAACGTTTCCACAGGGAAACAAGAGCTTAGACCTTCATAATTCTCTACTTCGATCATGTCAGTCTCTTGGTCCTTTATTTCTTATTCTCTCTATCCTTTCAGGAGACAGGAATCAAAATGAGATGGCAACTCTTCCCAAAGCAGAATTAAGGTGCTTTTCACTGGGAGAGCTTTCATGCTGGCAAATCAAGAGACATGTTGCAAGCAAATTAGCCAGAAGTCAAGACTCCATGATAAATATTGAAGTACAGAGCTCTCAGTTCCCCAAGCACCATGATTCCCCCTGTCAAGTGGGAGCAGGAGAATCTATTCAAGCTTCTGTGGATGACAGCTGTCTAGTGAATCTCATAGGAGATCATTCCAGTATCATTGAAAATCAAGAATTTCCAACTGAGAAAGTTCAGAATTCGTGGAGTAAAATATATCTGAATCAGACACAGAATTATCAGAGAAGTTGTAAGCAGACCCAGATGAAAAACAAATTATGTATATTTTCTCCATGTGTTGACATTTTTGGTTGTATTTCACACCATCATGATAATATATTGCACAAAAGAGATAAAGCTCATAGCAATAGTGATTGTGGTAAAGACACCCTAAAGGTGTCACCTCTTACCCAGCGTAGTATTCACACAGGACAGAAAACCTACAAGGGTAATGAATGTGCAGAAGCCTTTGATGATGGCCCCAGTCATGAACTTCATAAGCAGGTGCACTTGGGAAAGAAGTCTCCAGCATGTAGTACACATGAGAAGGACACCAGTTACAGCTCAGCTATTCCTGTTCAACAAAGTGTTCATCCTGGAAAAAAACGCTACTGGTGTCATGAATGTGGTAAAGGTTTCAGTCAGAGCTCAAATCTGCAAACTCATCAGAGGGTTCACACAGGGGAGAAACCCTACACATGCCACGAATGTGGTAAGAGCTTTAATCAGAGCTCACATCTTTATGCTCATTTGCCTATTCACACAGGAGAGAAGCCCTATAGATGTGACAGTTGTGGGAAGGGCTTCAGTCGAAGCACAGATCTTAACATTCATTGCAGAGTTCACACTGGAGAGAAACCTTATAAATGTGAGGTATGTGGGAAGGGCTTCACTCAGAGATCACATCTTCAAGCCCATGAAAGAATTCACACTGGAGAGAAACCATATAAATGTGGAGATTGTGGTAAACGCTTTAGTTGTAGCTCAAATCTTCATACCCACCAGAGAGTCCACACTGAAGAAAAACCATACAAATGTGATGAATGTGGTAAGTGCTTTAGTTTGAGCTTTAATCTTCACAGTCATCAACGAGTCCATACAGGAGAAAAACCATATAAATGTGAAGAATGTGGTAAGGGTTTTAGTTCAGCCTCAAGTTTCCAGAGCCATCAGAGGGTCCATACAGGGGAGAAACCATTTCGATGCAATGTGTGTGGTAAAGGCTTCAGTCAGAGTTCATATTTTCAAGCACATCAGAGAGTCCACACTGGAGAAAAACCATACAAATGTGAAGTGTGTGGAAAGCGCTTCAACTGGAGTTTGAATCTTCACAATCATCAGAGAGTCCACACAGGAGAGAAACCCTACAAATGCGAAGAGTGTGGTAAGGGTTTCAGTCAGGCCTCAAACCTTCAAGCCCATCAGAGCGTCCACACTGGGGAAAAACCTTTCAAGTGTGATGCATGTCAAAAGCGATTCAGTCAGGCCTCACACCTTCAAGCCCATCAGAGAGTCCACACCGGAGAGAAACCATATAAATGTGACACATGTGGTAAGGCCTTCAGCCAGAGGTCAAATCTTCAAGTCCATCAGATAATTCACACTGGAGAGAAACCATTTAAATGTGAAGAATGTGGGAAAGAGTTCAGTTGGAGTGCTGGTCTCAGTGCTCATCAGAGGGTCCACACAGGAGAAAAACCCTACACATGTCAGCAGTGTGGGAAGGGTTTCAGTCAGGCCTCGCATTTTCACACACACCAGAGAGTCCACACTGGAGAGAGGCCTTACATATGTGATGTCTGTTGTAAGGGCTTCAGTCAGAGGTCACATCTTGTCTACCATCAGAGAGTCCACAATGGAGGGCAGCTGTAGAAATTTGAGTTGTGGTTCACCCTCCAGTTAGGGTTCACGGCTTCGTCTCCATTGGGAAGTCCATGCTGATGACTGTGGAAAGTTCCTTTAAAACTAGAAGGTTCAAAGAATCTTGACAGGAAAGAAGTCTCTCAAATGCTGTGTTTCAGACTTGGTTAGGACATGAATTCTTTAAAAATGTTGTATTTCACAGAGAGAAAACTCTCTGTTCCATAAATATGATCAGTGTTTATATCAGAGTTGCCAGGTGTCTCAGTTCTCAAGATGTAACACAGCAGAAAAGTATTGTCAGAGTTTGCCCAGGAGAGAGGCCTTACTTTTAAAAAAGTATGATTGAGGCCAGGCACGATGGCTCATGCCTGTAATCCCAGCACTTTGGGAGACTGAGGCAGGTGGATCACTAGGTCAAGAGACGGAGACCGTCTCTACTAAAATACAAAAGTTAACTAGATGTGGTGGCGCATGCCTGTAGTTCCAGCTACTCAGGGTGCTGAAGGAGAATTGCTTGAACCCAGGAGGCGGAGGTTGCAGTGAGCCAAGATTGTGCCACTGCTCTCCAGCCTGGCGCGCGATGACAGAGCGAGAGACTGTCTCAAAAAAAAAAAAGTATGATTGACAGAAAATATTGATGTCAACTAAAATGTAAGCTCTATATAGAGAGGTGTTTTTCACCACTGTATCTCTACTATGTAGAATTGTGCTTGGCTTATAATAGGGCCTGGCAATTACTGAAAATAATGAAGAAAATACCTATAATTAGGACAAATATTTGAAAATTCTAGTCTGTTTTCTACCCTAAATTCATATTAATTTATATTCAAAAGGAATTTTGCAAGTAGCCTTAATAACGTTAGTTTCAGGAAATACTGAAGTATAGAAAAGTATGTAATACTGCCATCCATACTAATACAAATTCGGACAGAAGACATGAATGGCTCCCATCCTGCAGCCTTAGTTCTTTGTACAGTGTATCAGTTATGTAGTATAATTTTTAGTGTCATTAGTTTATAGACTGAACAATACTTTTTAAAACCTAATGTGACACTGAAATTTACATGATTAGAATTTTGGACACTAATTCATTAAGGTTGAGCTTTACTGTAACTCTGAAAGTGTTAAAAGTAGTTATGATGACAAAAAGTTTCTTAATAAACTTGAATTGTTAATAATTTGTTTCATTATTTCCATTCAGGTTCAGATCAAGTTTCTTTTCTATGTGTAGTCCTGATTCCTTCTAGACTTCTAGAAGGAGCTTTGGCAGATTTCAAGCACATTAATTTGTCACATCCCCTTAAAAGAGGGTAGCAGGGCAAGAAACCCATTGAGTTTTTATTGAAATTTTATCTATTGTTGATTTTGTTAAATAGAGCCTTGCTGTGTTGTTCAGGCCAGTCTCAAACCCCTGGCCACAAGCATTTCTCCAACTTTGGCTTCCCAAAGTGTTGAGATTACAGATGTGAACCCCTGTGCCCAGCCTTGAAATTGTATTCAATGTAATGATTTAGATGGGTTACCATTTACACAGCATTCTATGCTTGACACCTCTTAGTATGAGTGGACAATAAATACTCTTTGACCTGGCAGCCCTAGCACTAGAAATTTCACTTAGGAGATTGTGACAAAAGTGAGAAAGATTGTACACAAGGATATTTATCCTGAATTTCAAAAGGAAAATGTCAGTAAAATATTTGAGTAAGTCTCGATATATCCTTATAATGTACAGCCATTAAGATGATCAGAGATCTGTAATAACTAGAGAAAACATTATTCGTGAGAAAACTAGGTTGGAACCTTCCTGGGATGATCCAATTAATAGAAGTCTGTCTACCTAATGCTGTGATTATATGCATAGAAATAATGGAAGGACATTAATATGCTAACAGTTGTTTATTCTGGCATGGAAGGTTGGGATATTTAACTTTTCAAAAAATTACAGTGACATCAATTTTATCAAAGCAGTAAAACTGAAATAAAGTTATGCGTAAATGAAAATCCCTTATAGCTCAATCTAACTCGTTTGCTTTATCTAATTATATGGCATGTAATCCTGTTACGGTTATGTAACTGGCTTAAGTCCAGCCGCTTGCCACTTGAAGGCTGAAAACAGGAGAAACAAAATGTAGTGAAAGGAAGGCAGTTTTGCTAATCAAATGCTAGCAGTTGGGAAGTGACCGGGCTCATGGCTTAAAATGCCATTTCAACTTTTTGTGAGGGGGTTTAAGAAGGAAAACTTGGTGTGGGAAATACACGGGAGCGATGCAGCCAGATGCAGGTCTTGCATGTCTTGTTCTGATGGTTATCTTGAGTAATTACCCGTCTGGAGTTCCAGTTTGCATCATCTTGACTTTGGCTCAGGAGTGGTGGATGAACTGTTCATAACTGCCCCTAAGTGGGAGGATTGTGCAGCTGACTCGTTTAGTTTCTATGTCAGGTTTGCTTTAAAATTAGATCCTGGAATTTCTAAGCAAGCAAATTAGACAAGTCAGCACTGTGCATGAAGTACCTGACAGGAAAGAGAGAGATGAGTTTTAAGGTAAAGGCCACATTCCGGGATTGGAAAAAAAGGGGGAAAAAGTTTTAAAATTTATTTCAAAACTGGAATACTCAGTTACAATTCCCCACTTTCAAACTTCATCCTTTTTAAAAAAATTATTACACTTTAAGTTCTGGGATACATCTGCACAATGTGCAGGTTTTTTACATAGATATACTTGTGCCATGGTGGTTTGCTGCACCCATTAACCTGTCATCTACATTAGGTATTTCTCCTAATGCTGTCCCTCCCCTAGCTCCCTACCCACTGACAGACCCCAGTGTGTGATGTTCCCCTCCCTATGCCCATGTGTTCACATTGTTCAACTCCCACTTATGAGTGAAAACACACAGTGTTTGGTTTTCTGCTCCTGCATTAGTTTACTGAGAATGATGGTTTCCAGCTTCATTCATGTCCTTGCAAAGGACTTGAACTCATTTCTTTTTTATGACTGTATAGTATTCTATGGTGTTTATGTGCCATATTTTCTTTATCCAGTCTATCATCGATGGGCTTTTGGGTTGGTTCCAAGTCTTTGCTATTGTGGATAGTGCTACAATAAACGTACGTGTGCATGTGTCTTTATAGTAGAATGATTTATAATCCTTTGGGTATATTCCCAGTAATGGGATTGCTGGGTCAAGTGGTATTTCTGCTTCTAGATTCTTGAGGAATCACCACAGTGTCTTCCACAATGGTTGAATTAATTTACACTCCCACCAACAGTGTAAAAGCGTTCCTAATTCACATCCTCTCCAGCATCTGTTTTTTCCTGACTTTTTAATGATCACCATTCTAACTGCTGTGAGATGGTATCTCATTGTGGTTTTGATTTGCATTTATCTAATGACCAGTGATGATGAGCTTTTTTTCATGTTTGTTAGTCACATAAATGTCTTCTTTTGAGAAGTGTCTGTGCATATCCTTTGCCCACTTTTTGATGGGGTTCTTTTTTCTTGCAAATTTGTTTAAGTTCCTTGTAGATTTTGGATATTAGTTTTCAGATGGATAGCTTGCAAAAATTTTCTCCCATTCCATGGGTTGCCTGTTCACTCTAAAGATAGTTTTTTTTGCTGTGCAGAAGCTCTTTCGTTTAATTAGATCCCATTTATCAATTTTGGCTTTTGTTGCCATTGCTTTTGATGTTTTAGTCATGAAGTCTTTGCCCATACATATGTCCTGAATGGTATTACCTAGGTTTTCTTCTAGGGTTTTTATAGTTTTAGGTCTTATGTTTAAGTCTTTAACCCATCTCGAGTTAATTTTTGTATTAGGTGTAAGGAAGGGGTCCAGTTTCTCTTTTCTGCATATGGCTAGCCAATTTGCCCAGCATCATTTATTAAATAGGGAATCCTTTCCCCATTGCTTATTTTTTGCCAGGTTTGTCAAAGCTCAGATGGTTGCAGATATGTGGCATTATATCTGAGACCTCTGTTCTGTTCCATTGGTTTCTATATCTGTTTTGGTACCAACACCATGCTGTTTTGATTACCGTAGCCTTTTAGTATAGTTTGAAGTCAGGTAGCATGATGCCCCCAGCTTTGTTCTTTTTGCTTAGAATTGTCTTGGCTATATGGGCTCTTTTTTGGTACCATGTGAAATTTAAAGTAGTTTTTTCTAATTCTGTGAAGAAAGTCAGTGGTAGCTTGATGGGAATAGCATTGAATCTATAAATTACTTTGGGCAGTATGGCCATTTTCATGATACTGATTCTTCCTAACCATGAGCATGGAATGTTTTTCCATTTATTTGTGTTTTCTTTTATTTCCTTGAGCAGTGGTTTGTAGTTCTACTTGAAGAGGTCCTTCACATCCCTCGTAAGTTCAGAAGGAATGGTACCAGCTCCTCTTTGTACCTCTGGTAGAATTGGCCTGTGAATCTGAGTGCTCCTGGGCTTTATTTGGTTGGTAGGCATTACTGCCTCAATTTCAGAACTTGTTATTGATCTATTCAGATATTCAACTTCTACCTGATTTAGTCTTGGGAGGGTGTATGTGTCCAGGAATTTATCTGTTTCTTCTAGATTTACTGGTTTATTTGCATAGAGGTGTTTGGAGTAATCTCTGATGGTAGTTTGTATTTCTGTGGGATCGGTGGTAATATCCCCTTAATCATTTTTTATTGCATCGATTTGAATCTTATCTCTTTTCTTCTTTGTATGGCTAGTGGTCTATTTTGTTAATTTTTTCAGGAAACCACCTCCTGGATTCACTGATTTTTTTTTTGAAGGGCTTTTTGTGTGTCTATCTCCTTTAGTTCTGCTCTGATCTTATTTATTTTTTATCTTCTGCTAGCTTTTGAATTTGTTTGCTCTTCTTTTCTAGTTATTTTAATTTTGATATTAGGTTGTCAATTTTAGATCTTTTCCACTTTTTCCTGTGGCCATTTAGAACTATAAATTTCTCTCTAAACACTGCTTTAGCTGTGTCCCAGGGATTCTGGTACATTGTGTCTTTGTTGTCATTGGTTTCAAATAACTTATTTATTTCTGCCTTAATTTTGTTATTTACCCAGTAGTCATTCAGGAGCAGGTTGTTCAGTTTCCACGTAGATGTGCAGTTTTGAGTGAGTTTCTTAATCCTGAGTTCTAATTTGATTGCATTGTGGTCTGAGAGGCTCTTTGTTACGATTTACTTTTTTTTCCTTTGCATTTGCTGAGGAATGTTTTATTTCAATTATGTGGTCAATTTTAGAATAAGTGCAATGTGGTGCTGAGAAGAATGTATATTCTGTTAATTTGGGGTGGAGAGTTCTATAGCTGTCCATTAAGTCCACTTAGTCCAGATCTGAGTTCAAGTCCTGAATATCCTTGTTAATTTTTTTGTATTGTTGATCTAATATTGATGTTGGGGTGTTAAAGTCTCCCACTGTTACTGCGTGGGAGTCTAAGTCTCTTTGTAGGTCTCTAAGAAATTGCTTTATGAATCTGGGTCCTCCTGTATTGGGTGCATATATATTTAAGATAATTAGCTCTTCTTATTGCATGGATCCTTTTACCATTATGTAATACCCTTCTTTGTCTTTTTTGATCTTTGTTGATTTAAAGTCTGTTTTATCAGAGAGTAGGACTGCAACCCCTGCTTTTTTTATGCTTTCCATTTGCTTTCTAAATATTCCTCCATTTCTTTATTTTGAGCCTATGCGTCTTTGCACATGAGATGGTTGTCCTGAAAACAGCACACTGATGGGTTTTGACTTTGAATCCCATTTGCCAGTCTGTGTCTTTTAATAGGGGCATTTAGTCTCTTTACATTTAAGGTTAATATTGTTATGTGTGAATTTGATTCTGTCATTATGATACTAGTTGGTTATTTTGCCCATTAGTTGATGTAGTTTCTTCCTAGTGTTGATGGTCTTTACAATTTGGCATGTTTTTGCAGTGGCTGGTGCCAGTTTTTATTTTCCATATTTAGTGCTTCCTTCAATATCTCTTCTTGTAAGGCAGATCTGGTGGTGACAAAATCTCTCAGTATTTGCATGTCTAAAGGATTTTATTTCTCCTTTGAGTACTTTGGCTGGATATGAAATTTTGAGTTGAAAATTCTTTATTTAAGGGTAACCCAACCTTCTCTCTGGCTGCCTTTAATATTTTTTCCTTCCTTTCAACCTTGGTGAATGTGATGATTATGTGTCTTGGTGTTGCTCTTCTCAAGCAGTATCTTTGTGGTGTTCTCTGTATTTCCTGAATTTGAATGTTGGCCTCTCTTGCTAGGTTGGGGAAGTTCTGGATAATATCTTGAAGAGTGTTTTCCAACTTGGTTCCATTCTCCCTGTACTTTCTGGTACACCAATCAAACGTAGGTTTGGTCTTTTCACATAGTCCCATTTTTCTCAGAGGCTTTGTTCATCCCTTTTCATTCTTATTTTTCTAATCTTGTCTTCATGCTTTATTTCATTACGTTGATTTGCAATATCTGATATCCTTTCTTCCATTTGATTGATTCAACTTTTGATCCTTATGTATGCTTCATGAAGTTCTCATGCTGGTTTTCAGCTCCATCAGATCATTTATGTTCTTCTGTAAGCTGGTTCTTCTAGTTAGCAATTTCTCTAACCTTTTTTCAAGGTTCTTAGCTTCCTTGCATTGGGTTAGAACATGATCCTTTAGCTCAGAGGAGTTTGTTATTACCCACCTTCTGAAGCCTACTTTTTCCAATTCCTCAAACTCATTATCCATCCAGTTTTGTTCCCTTGCTGGCAAGAAGTTCTGATCCTTTGGAGGAGAAGAGGCATTCTGTTCTGTTTTGTTTTGTTTCCAGCCTTTTTAATGCTGATTATTTTTCATCTTCTTGGATTTGTCTATCTTTGGTCTTTGATACTGGTGACCTTTGGATGGAGTTTTTGTGTGGACGTCCTTTTTGTTGATGTTGATGCTATTCCTGTTTGTTAGTTTTTCTTTTAACAGTCAGGTCCTCTGCTGCAGGTCTGCTGGAGTTTGCTGGAGGTCCACTCCACACCCTGTTTGCCTGGGTATCACCAGTGAAGCCTGCTGAACAGCAAAGATTGCTGCCTACTTTTTCATCTGGAAGCTTTGTCCCAGAGGGGCAACCACCAGATGCCAGCTGGAGCTCTCCTGTATGAGGTGTCTTTTGACCCCTGCTGGGAAGTGCCTCCCAGTCAGGAGGCACAGATGTCAGCGACCCACTTGAGGAGGCCCTCTGTCTCTTAGAGCTAAAGCGCTGTGCTGGGAGATCCACTGCTCTTTTCAGAGCTGTCAGGCAGGAAAGTTCACATCTGCTGAAGCTGTGCCCACAGCTACCCTTTACCCCAGATGCTCTGTCCTAGGGAGATAAGAGTTTTAACTATAAGCCCCTAACTGAGGTTGCTTCCTTTCTTTCAGAGATGCCCTGCCCAGAGAGGAGAAATCTAGAGAGGTAGTCTGGCTACAGCATCTTTGCCAAGCTGCAATGGGCTCTACCCCGTTTGAACTTCCCAGTGGCTTTGTTTACACTGTGAGGGGAAAACTGCCTACTCAAGCCTCAGTAATGGCCCTCACCCCTCCCTGCACCAAACTAAAGTGTTTCAGGTCGACTTCAGACTGCTGTGCTGACAGCAAGAATTGGAAGCCAGTGGATCTCAGCTTGCTGGGCTCCATCAGAGTGGGATCCGCTAAGCTAGACCATTTGGCTCCCTGGCTTCAGCCCCCTTTCCAGGGAAGTTAACGGTTCTGTCTTGCTGGCATTCCAGGTACCACTGAGGTATGAAAAAATTTCCTGCAGCTAGCTCAGTGTCTTCCCAAACAGCCACCCAGTTTTGTGCTTGAAACACAGAGCCCTGGTGGTGTAGGCACCCGAAGCAATCTCCTGATCTATGGTTGGCAAAGACCATGGGAAAACCATAGTATCTGGGATGGAATGCACTGTTCCTCATGGCATAGTCTCTGACAGCTTCCCTTGGCTAGGTGAGGGAGTTACACAACCCCTTATGCTTTTTGGGTGAGGTGATGCCCCACGCTTTGGCTCACCCTCCATGGGTGGCACCCCCTGTCTAACCAGTCCCAATGAGATGAGCTAAGAACCTCAGTTGGAAATTCAGAAATCACCCACCTTCTGCATTGATCTCATTGGGACCTGCAGACTGGAGCTGTTCCTATTCGGCCACCTACCTTGCCAGCCACTCTCCTCAATTTTTCCTCAGTATTTTCTATCACAAATTTTTTCAGATCAGTCAGCAGAATTTTTTTTGAATTATTTTAGCACAAAAGGAATTCTGAATGCTTTACTTTTATCTCAAAGTATTTTCTAATATCCCTGTAACTTCTTGCCCCATTGGTTTTTAAGAGTGTGCTGTTGGCCGAGTGTGGTGGCTCACACCTGTAATCCCAGGACTTTGGGAGGCCAAGGCAGGTGGATCACTAGGTCAGGAAAACAAGACCATCCTGGCCAACATGGTGAAACACTGTCTCTACTAAAAATACAAAAAAAAAAACATTAACCAGGTGTGGCAGTGCATGCCAGTAGTCCCAGCTACTTGGGATGCTGAGGCAAGAGAATTGCTTGAATCTGGGAGGCAGAGGCTGCAGTGAGCCAAGATCGCACCACTGCACTTCAGGCTGAGTGACAGAGCAAGACTCCATCTCAAAAAAAAAGAAAAAAAAAGTGTGCTGTTTAATTTCCACATACTTATGAATTTTCTAGTTTTCCTCATTACTGATTTCAGTTTCATTTTGTTGTGGCCAGAGAATACTTTTTTTTTTTTTTTTTTTTTTTTTGATGTGCTGTTGCAATCGGCTTGCCAGGAGAATACATTTTATATGATTTTTATCTATTTGTTGTTGATAACTGAGATTTTTAAATTTTTATTGAGACTTGTTTTGTGGCCTAATATATGATGTATCCCAGAAGATGTTTCATGTCCAGTTGAGAAAAAATGTGTATTCTGCTGATTTTAGTTGGGGTGCTTTGTATATATGTTAGGAGTTTGGTTTGTGTGTTTCCAAGTCCTCTAATTCTTTATTGATCTTTTGTCTAGTTGTTCTATCCATTATTGAAAGTGGGGTACTGAAGTCTGAAAATATTGTAGAAATATCTATTTCTCCCTTCAGTTCCATCTATTTTCACACCATATATTTGGGGACTAGCTATGTAATGTCTGTTTTGTAATATCTTCTTGATGGATTGACTCTTTTGTCAATAGGTAATGTCCTTGTTTGTCTCTTGTCAAGTTTGTTTGTTTGTTTTTTATGGAAGAAAGAGAAAGGGGGAGAGAGAACAGGAGTCTTGCTCTATTGCCCAGGCTGGAATGCAATCTAAAAATAGGTATTAAAACCTCTTTTATGCCAATAATTGTGCTTAACAGCAGAGACAGGAAGGAATAAGGGAAGAAAATAAACAGCCAACCAATAATTCATTTAAGTCTATGAAATGCTATGCAAATGCTGAAGAGTGATTTACTTCCAATTATGTGGTCACTTTCAAAATAGGTGTAATGTGATACTGAGAAAAATGTATGTTCTGTGGACCTGGGGTGAAGAATTCTATAAATATTCACTGAGTTTACTTGTTCCAGGTCTGAGTTCTAATAGTAGATGTACCTGTTAATTTTCTCATTGATCCGTTGAATATTAACCATGTGGTGTCAAAGTCTCCTCCTATTATTGTGCAGGAGTCCAAGTCTCTTTATAAGTCATTAAGAACTTGTCTTATGTATCTGGGCGTTCCTATATTGGGTGCATGTATATTTATGATCATTGACCCCTGTTGTTGCATTGATCCTTTTACCATTATGTAATGTCCTTCTTTGTTTCTTTTAGTCTTTGTTACCATTAAAGTCTATTTTGTCAGAGATGAGTTACAACTCCTGTTGTTGTTGTTGTTATTGTTGTTGTTGTTTTTGCTCTCCATTTGATTGGTGAGTCGTCCTCCAATCCTTTGAGTCTTTGTGTGTCCTTGCTTATGAGATGGATCTGGATACAGCATACCGATGGGTTTTGACTTTTTATTCAATTTGCCTGTCTGTATCTTTAATTGGGGCATTTAATCCATTTAAATTTAGGATTAATGTTGATATTTGTGAGTTTAGTATTGTCATTTAATACTAGCTGGCTATTTTGCCCATTAGTTGATATAGATTCCTCATTATGGAGATACTCTTTGCCTTTTGGTAAGTTTTTGGGATGACTGATACTGGTAGTTCCTTTCTGTGTGTAATGCTGCTTTCAGACGCTCTTGTAAAGCAGGCCTGGTGGTGATGAAATCTCTGAGTGATTGCTTGTTCATGAAGAATTTTATTTTTCCTTCATTTATGAAGCTTAGTTTGGCTGGATATGAGATTCTGGGTTGAAAATTCTTTTCTTTGAGGATATTGAATATTGACCTCCACTCTCTTCTAGTTTGTAGGGTTTCTGCTAAGAGATTTGCTGTGAGTCTGATAGGCTTCCCTTTATGGGTAACCTGACCTTTCTCTTTAGCTGCCCTTAGAATTTTCTCCTTTATTTCAACCCTGGTGAATCTAACGATTATGTGTCTTCTGGTTGCTCTACTTGAGGAATATCTCTGTGGTGTTCTCTGTATTACCTGGAGTTGAGTATTGTCCTGCCTTACTAGGTTAGGAAAGTTTTCCTGAATAATATCCTGAAGAATATTTTCCAGCTTAGATTCATTCTCTTCATGACATTCAGGTACACCTATCAAACGTAATTTAGGTCTTTTCACATAGTCCTATATTTCTTGGAGACCTCGCTCATTCCTTTTTACTCTTTCTTCTCTAGTCTTGTCTTCTCGTTTCATTTTGTTAAGCTGGTCTTCAACCTCTGATATCCCTTCTCCTGCCTGATCAATTCGACTGTTAAAACCTGTGCATACTTCACGGAGTTCTCATATTGAATTCTTCAGTTCCATTAATTCACTTATATTCTTCTCTAAATTGTCTATTCTTGTTAGGATTTCATCAAACCTTTTTTTGAAGGTTCTTAGTTTCTTTACATTGGACTAGAAAGTGTTCTTTTAACTCACAGAAGTCTCTTATTATCCACTTTCTGGAGCCTAATTCTGTTAATGGAATGCACTTGTTCTCTATCAGGCCTTGTTCCCCTGTTGTTGAGGAACTGTGATCCCCTGTAGAGGGAGAGGCATTCTGATTTTGGGTATTTTCAGCCTTTTTACGCTGGTTTCTTCCCATCATTGTAAATTTATCCACCTGTCGTCTTCTTTGTAATTACCGACTTTCAAATTAGGTCTCTGAGTGGACGTGCAAATTGTTGATTCCCAGCACCGGAATCTGAGCAACCCACTGCGCTGGCTAAAACAGCAGCATTAAGATTCATGGTGCTTTTCTGCCCGGGAATCTCTGGTCCAGCTTCCCTTGAGTCCCTTTTTCGATCAGCTAAATGGGCGACTCTGCCTTCCCAAAGCTCCAAACGCCGACCAAAAGGGGACTTGAGTCCCGTTTACTCTGCACCAAGAACTGCCATGCTGGCCACAAGAGTCGCACTGGCAACCCATGGGGCTCCTTCACTGGGAATCTCCTGGTCCGTGAGCAACAAAAATTCATCTGAAAGTGTGGCGTCCTCTCATTCTCTGCACTTTCACTGGGAGCTACAATCCTGAGCTGCTAGTAATCGGCCATCTTCGCCATAGGATCTCTTGTCAAGTTTTTTACTTAAAGTCTATTTAGTCTAATATTAATATAGCCACCGCAGTTCTCTTTATTTAACATCCTGCATGGAATATTTTTTTCCCCATTTTTCAATCAACATTTTTTTTGTCTTTGGATTGCAAGTAAGTGTCTTATAGAGAGCATACAGTTGGATCATGCTGTTTTATCCATTCTGCCAATTTTTGCCTTTTGACTGGATTTAAATGCCTTGTTCATTTAAATTAATTCCTGATTTTAAAAAGAACTTGCTTCTGTCACTTTGCGATCTGTTTTCTACATGGCTTATTTTTTTTGTTCCTTGGTCTCTCAACTCAATGCCTTCTTTCATGTTTGACATTTCTGTAGCATACCTTTTTTTTTTTTTTTTTTTTTTTTGAGACAGGGTCTCACCATTCATCACCCAGGCTGGAGTGCTGTGGCATGATCTTGGCTCACTGCAACCTCTGCCTCCTGGGTTCAAGCAATTCTCATGCCTCAGCCTCCCAAGTAGCTGGAACTACAGGAATGCACCATCATGCCCAGCTAATTTTTGTATTTCTAGTAGAGACAGGGTTTCACCATGTTGAGCAGGCTGATCTCAAACTCCTGACCTAAAGTGATCCACCCACCTTGGCCTCCCAAAATGCTGGGATTACAGATTTGAGTCACTATGCCTCAACTGTAGTGTACCGTTTAAATTTTCTTCTTATTCCCTTTTCTGTATATTTTATATTCGTAGTGATTACCCTGTGGAATACAGTTAACATCCTTTTTCTTTTTTGAAGCAAGGTCTCACTCTGTTATCCAGGCTGGAGTGGAGTGGTGTGATCCTGGCTCACTGCATCTGAAGTAGCCCTGCAGCCTCAGATTCCTGCATAGCTAGTACTACAGGCATGTGCCATCACACCCAGCTAATTTTTTTTTTAAATGTTGGTAGAGATAGATCTCTCTATGTTGCCCAGGCTGCTCTCAAACTCCTGGCCTCAAGTAGTCCTCCTACCTCACCCTTCCAAAGTGCTGGGATAACAGAGCCACCACACCTGGCCTATTTTTCCAAATTTTATTGTGAAAAAATTTAAAGATGCAAAAGTGTTTAATAGTATTAAAGTTATATTATAATTAAATAAGTTAACATAGTTTAATACTAACTTAGCTTCCACAGTATAAAACTCTGCTCCCATATATCTGTTTTCCTCTTTGTAGGATTTGAAAAATTACATCTTTATACATTGTTTGCCCCATTAACATAGATTTATAATTGTTTTACTCATTTTTCTTTAAATCATATAGGAGTTATAACCCAATAATATAATAATATTGGCTTTTGTGTTTGCCTATGTAGTTACTTTACCAGTGTTCTTTATTAATTTATACGGCTTCAAGATACTATTTAAGTGTTTTTTCACTTCTGCCTGAAGTATTTCGTATTTCTTGTAAAGCAGGCCAACTAGCAGTGAACTCCCTCAGTGTTTATCTAGGAATGTCTTAATTTCTTTTTCATTTTTGAAGGGTACTTCTGCCAGATATAGGATTCTTGGCTAACAGGTGTTTTTATTTCAATACTTTAAATAGGTCATCACATTGCTTTCTGGATATCATAGTTTCTGATGAGAAATGGGTTATTAATCTTATTATAGAGCTTTTGTACATGAAGAGTCCCTTTTGAGTCTCTCTTATGGTTTGACTGTAATGTATGTTAGTGTGGATCTCTATGCATGTATTCCTCTTGGAGTTAGTTCCTTGAGCTTCTTATACTTGTAGGTTTTGTTTTTATAAGTTTGAGAAGTTTTTGAACATGATTTCTTCAAATATTCTTGTTCTTTTGTTTTGAGACAGTCTTGCTCTGTTGCACAGGCTGGAATGCAATGGTGTGATCTCCACTTACCATAACCTTCGCCTCCTGGGTTCAAGAGATTCTCCTGCCTCAGCCTCCAGGGTACCTGGGATTATAAGCACATGCCACCATGCCTGGCTAATTTTTTGCATTTTTAGTAGATAGGGTTTCTCCATGTTGGCCAGGCTGGTCTTGAACTCCTGACCTCGTGATCCACCTGCCTTGGCCTCCCAAAGTGCTGGGATTACAGGCAAGAGCCACCGCTTGTAGCCAGATATTCTTTATACTCCTTTCTCTCTCCTCTCTTACTGTTCCTCCCATGTACATATTTTGATATGCTTCATGGCATCCCACATGTACCTGAATTCTACTTATTTTCCCTTCTCCTCAACTGGAATAACTTCAATTTACTTATCTTTTAGTTCACTAATTGTTCTGCTTACTTAAATATGCTGTTGAAATCTTTTAGTGAATTTTGACTTCAGTTATTATACTCTTCAAGTACAAAATTCATGGTTTTAAAGTAATTTCTATGTGTTTTTCAGACATCATTCTCCTGGTTTTATTATCTTTGTTCATGTTTCCTCTAGCTGTTTGAGAATTTTTAAGACAGTTGATTTAAAGTCTTTATCTAGTAAGTTCAATGTCTGTTTCCTTGGGTCAGTTTCTGTTCATTTATTCTAGGAATGGACTTTTTATTTGCATGCTGTGTAATTTTTGTTTTGTTTTATAATGTGGCATCCCTTAAAGTGAGATTCTTCCTCCTGCTCAGAATGTTTTTATTTTATCAGGGATTGTAATGGTTTGTTTAGTGACTGTTATAGGTTTAATTGTATCTCCTGAAAAGGTATGTCGAAGTCCTAACCTTTGAACATGACCTTACTTTGAAATAGGGTTTTCGAAGATGCAGTCAAGATGAGGCCCTTAGGGTGTACCCTCATTCAATATGACAGTGTCCCTATTAGAAGAGTAACATACCATATCAAGGTAGAAACACATGGGGAGAATGCCATGTGACCACAGAGATAGAGCTTGAAGTGAAACAGCAATGATAAATGGATACCACCAGAAGCTACTAAGAGGTAAAGAGAGCATGGCCCTTCTGACACTTTGATTTTGGAGGTCTAAGCTGCAGAAAACTGGGAGATAATAAATTTTCATTGTTAAAGCCACCCAATCTTGTGGCATGTGGTTACAGCAGCTCTGGGCAATGAATACAGTGAATTTTCTAAACTACTTTTTAATAAAACCTAATATTCCCCATATTGTTTGGTATCTAAGGTCTCTAGTCTCCTCATTTATTTTTACCCAGTATGTTACAGGGATTTTCTTGAATGTCTGGATCAAAAACAAACAAAAAAGGAAAAATATTCAC